GTATTTTGCCTGATACAGAAGTCACGACGTATGGGAAAAGGTAGTGGTGAGCTTTGATGAATATATGCTCGAAAGTTGATAGATTTCTACACTTACGAACACCATCTGCTGTTTCTGCATGAACATCAATTGTAGTAAGTTTTCAAGCAATAAGTGCATATGACAAAGACGCTTATAAAGAGTACATGAACCCATTACATAGTTCTGAGAACACGGCTTCCCAGAATTGAAGCAAATCAAAAGCCAACATTGAAATCAAAGTCTATTGTGGCAGTGGTTTACTGCTATGTGATATATGCTACTGTCATGAAAGTCCAACGCGCAAAAGCACGAGCAGATTCGTTGAGTGGATCCCTCAGAAACTGCGTATCAAACGGATCCACTTTACATTCGGGCCCCAAAATTGGGTCCATAATTCCACTTTTTGCAGAGTCACGGATGTTTATGCCAAGTAAATGTGCATGCATGATCTTAGGCCTAAAAAAGTGATCAAAAGCCCATTGCTTTATAAAAACGGCGCCAAAAGGTATTGGTTGCGTAAATGGTCAATTTGCTAAGATTCCACCAGAGCATTTGGTGAGATTTGTGCGCGAAGATGTAGCTTACGGTGACTGCTGCTCTAATTGCAACCGTCAAGACCATGGGAAAACCCAAAACTTATAGAAATTTGCGTTTGTTCTCCTGCAAAAAGTCTCCCCATCTCATCCACGCGAAATCACCGATTTTACTTGAAAAAGCTTTCGAAATGAGTAATTGTTTACATTTTGTTCGTGATAGTTGGCACTGCTCGGTGAGTTCCAATGCCATCATTATGCGAGAATAAGTAGGGCCTAGATAGTAGAGCCAGTGCGAGCCTCTGCGAAGCAGAGGTGACGCACTGGTACACTCATATCACAGCAGGTCATGCTTATGGCATGACCTTTACGGTGCTTAGGAGAGGTAATAGGATATGAGGAAGGTGCCGACAATGTCGGCACACCATAAATGTGGTGGCTCCGTGGCTTTCAGTGCCTTAGGCGGAAATAGCGCCTTTGGTGGAGCAGTGTAGCTGCTGGTAAACAAGGTAGTTTAGCAGCTTTATTGAGTCAATCAACATGCCCGCATGGGTGCAATGGTAGAATGCTCGTGATTGAAGGCGTGGTAAAGTAGCATCACAAACATCTGGGCAATAATACACTCGTATCGCAGCAGGTCATGCTTATGGCATGACCTTAACGGTGCTTAGAAGAACTAATGATAAGTTGCAAGGAGGTGCCGACTCCCGCCAGCGAGGGGAACAAATAAGAAACAGGCGAAACGAGCAGCATAAATGTGAACACTGTAACTAACAATAAGAATACTAAGCGAATATTTATCAGGATACCTTAATGGACGTATCTGGGGAGCCTGGTAATTGAGAGCGAGATGCTGGTTAATGCAGTCGTGCCAGCTGACATAAGATCGCAGAGAAGCAAGTGGTAGTAAGGCAGAGTATAGTGGATAATTATGATGTCTTAGTATATCCAAATTCATCAACGGCAAAAATGGAAAGTGAAGGGAATAACACTGATAATTCTTCTTACTCTCCTTGCCTCGTCGCGGGTTTCCGATCAGATGCCTGTCGATCTCATCATTGCTTCGTTTACCTCTTCCAGGCATGGTGACCTGCGCAGTCGGTATATCATCTTTTGCTGGTATATTGCCATTCATGGTATCTCCGCGAGCCAATATTGTGCGGTCTTCAGAATGCTGATTGAAGCGCTCTTCGCTTTCCTCGTCTTCTTCCATTGTCGCGAAATCTACGCTCATCATCGCGAGAGTATCCATCTCTCTTTCCGCATCGTGTAAAAAGGTTTTGAACAGGCAGGATTGCCGTTCTTTGACTACTTGGCTTATCTCAAAATTGCCTTTGTATGTTTCTGCGTATAGGATTTGATGCTCTACAATACAAACAAAAACATATGCATCGGAAAGCAACTGATAGAAGCCAGCCTCCTTTTCAAGCTTTTGTAGCTGAAGTATGATTGTTTTTCTCCCGCATTTGAAGTGCGTGAGATAAAATTCCTCAAATTTGTCGACTATTGACTGCAAAATCGTCGATCTCGCTTTGACTTGCGATAGAGATAAAAGAAGAATATCTAAATTCTCGAAACATTTCTTTTTCAAGCCTTCATTGTGCTGCAGAGTGAATTTAACATCGGTAATAGGCTCGAATTTTTTGAGCACTTTTGCTAGTGCTACCGAGTGAAGTGAAATTGCCTCTTTGAAGAATTTTAGAGACATTTTTGGTACAAAAATTTGCGATTATGGCAAAGATATGGCTGCTTTTGAGCCGTTCGCTACTTTTTTAGCGAAAATTGAGAAGATTTTGTCCCCGATGCGGAGGAGAATGGCTGTCGCTGAGTGCGAGGCAGCGGATTTTGGGCGCTAGGTCCCAAGGTTAGAATAGCTAACCTTCGTGCAGTCGCAGGAGCGAAGCACTTATCGGTCTTACGTATTTGGCCGATGCACCATAAATGTGGTGGCTCCGTGGCTTTCAGTGCCTTAGGCGGAAAACTCGTACCTATAGTTACAAATGGCTGCGAAGAGCGCGCCCCATGACCCAATGCACATTTGACCGGCGCGCAGGGCGTTTGGTGTCGGAGCGCGCAATGCAGGCACAGATGTCTACTATTTGAGCTACGTAGGCTAACCAGTGAAGATCTTAATCAATGACAGCCTTTCAATGTCATGAAACGAGCTAGTGAAAATCTCGCTTAGCCAGCGGCAACAAGTTAACGATGACAGGCTAGAGATTGTACATGATTGACCTTTTTTGTGAACTTTTTGCTTGAACTTTCTTGTCCTTTTTCTAATAGCAAGCTTTTGTGCATCACGACTCCGTTTCCTGATGCTAAGGCTTGAAGAGCCTTGTGTAGGCCCGTAGTTTTTGCGTTTGCTTGTGTTTCTAAGAACTTGTTTCTTTTGTTTCTAAATCTGGTTACCTTGTTGCGTACTCACGATGAACAAATTCAGGATCCACATCTCGTTTCACATACTAAATGGACAGTATCTGCATGTTTTGAGGTAATCTATAACAACCACGAAAGGTGGACTTTCTGTTCAACAACTCAAGCTTCTTATCATCTGTCACAAAAATGAAGGTCAGAGAGGCCAGGTCTACACCATCAAAACTTGAGAAGAAAGTCCTTCAGTTCATTCTACTGCATGCATAATTTTTGGTTATGACATCATGGAAAGCAGTTTTATCTTCAGTGCGTAGCAATAGATACATGAGGAATGCGCTCAGATGAGGAGTGAGAGGCAAAGAAGGAGAAGTATCTGCACAGATTTCTCACAGGCCGTACTTATGCTTTTGTACTCTTATCCACCCATCTGTGGGATATAAAAGAAGACTAAGTAGCGAAAATCGCGTGACAAGTAGTAAACTGGAAAGCGTGATAGCGCCCTACCTGAGCTGGAGGTACCCAAGCTTACCGAAGCTGCCGAAATTGACGTGCACAGTGATTTTCACGAACAGTTTCATCGAAATCCATCTGAACTTACAGCGCTTACAGCACTACCCATTCTGAGAATAGAAAACTCGAAACGCTCTGTATGTACAAGTTGTCTAAACATGCTCGAATCAATTTTATCCAAGTGGTCTAACATCAAAAATGAGATGTGTCAGAAGTGCTTTCCAAATTGGAGCATTTGAGTCTCCTAGTCTCAGAATGAGTAATTTACCTATCGAAACTTAAATTTGCAGCTTTCTTCTTCTTATGACTGCCGTATAAGAAAGGTATGTTCAGTAGAAAGCCCCTCTCTGTTTAGGCACATACAAATCATTACTTTCTCATCCGTGCTAAGTTCTTGAGGCAACATATTAATGAAGAATGATCTAGATGGCAAGAAATGAAAGTTAAAGCATCATACGTTAACAATTGCACTTGTTTTTGTGATTCTCCAGCAGAAAGGAATTGTTTTCTCTTCAGTGTCCCTTATTTCGCCCTGAAAGTTATAGGGTGTGCGCGCTTAGTCGCCGGGGTTCCCGCGCGAAATACAGATTTGTACTGGGACATGGGGCGCGCTCTTCGCAGCCGTTTGTAACTATAGGTACGAGTAGGCGGAAATAGCGCCTTTGGTGGAGCAGTGTAGCTGCTGGTAGACAAGGTAGTTTAGCAGCTTTATTGAGTCAATCAACATGCCCGCATGGGTGCAATGGTAGAATGCTCTGGATTGAAGGCGTGGTAAAGTGGTATCACAAACATCTGGGCAATAATACACTCATATCACAGCAGGTCATGCTTATGGCATGACCTTTACGGTGCTTAGGAGAGGTAATGATAGGATATGAGGAAGGTGCCGACAATGTCGGCACATGGGTGATCGTCTTCTTGGATTAGCCTTTAGGAGGAAAGACTCGGCGTCTTCAGTACTCTCTGCGGGCATGCGCCGAACGCATTCCACTTCATTGTCGAAATGGTCTGAGTGCATGCCAGCCTATTACATTGAGTTGTGGGGTCAGCCGATTACCAGGTCAATGCTTTTATCCTCCCAGATTAACATGGTACCAGTTTACCGTCCTCAGAGGGTAGAGGGCTTGGTTGGCCCAAGGGCTGGATCGAACCTGAATCCGAATTGGTCATAACGGCGCCTCAAATCACTATGCCGCCCTCGTCTCCGATTGTATCAGCCTTTTGGGCCGAGCATACATCACGCGATTTTATATTTCATCGTCTCGCGATTCTTCTGACAAGACAACTAATACGAGTCTATTGCATGCCGACCATCTTCCATTTGGGCTGTGGTAGTTCTCCGACACGACCAATAATGAATAACTACCACAGGGGCGATGAAATCGCGTGATGTATGTTCGGCCCTTTTACCAAAAACCAACCTCGTTTTCATGATCATCATACCAAATGACAGCTGGGCAAGGTCCAGCGAGTTCTGAGGCTTTGAATTTTTGGATTGTGTCAAGCGGTGTGTGAACATCAACTGAAACTTCCTAGACATGGTTTTTACAGCACATTTAGACAGCTGCCACCACTCCGCACAGCACAATGCGCTGCTGTTGGCGACAGCCGATTCGAAGTTCGCGGCGATTGTCAGGCGGTGCTTGGCTGAGTATTCGACGCCGAGCACACGCGTGGCTTGGCCCGCCAGCGGCGACCCGCCTCTACCGCGATTCACAGCTATTAGCACCGCAATCATTCGACAGTGTTGTTCTGCGAGATCTGAGTGTTCTTCTCGACTTTCTCCTCTGTTTCTGAGCAGTTCGTATTTGTTCCGATCGCCATATCAGAACCGTTCGGTAAGTGTCGTTTTTTCTCGAATTTGAACGCGTTTTCACTTGCTGGAACATTCGCTGTATTTCTAGATCAGCGCAGCAAAAATCGTAATGAATTGCAGGTCACATCTGGATACTTGCTTCCTGTTTGCCTTCAACCGCATTGGTTTGCTGGACTAGACGATTGTCAGCATGAGCGCCGCCGATACCAAAGTCGCCGTAACCACCGATGAGAACTGGAAAGCCGGGCTCGTTCTACCCGCCAAGGATAAGCGCTTTAAAACCGCGGTATTGATTTATTGATTTCTTTCGTGTTTTTGTGCAGACCAGCAGGATGGGCAAGCGGCAACAAAGCTGCTTCTGTTGGAAGTACCTTAGGGCACATCAGATTTCTCGCACCTCTAATTCTTAGGTGATGGGCCAACTCCTTTCCTCGCAATAAGCTCAGGAAGAATGATAATCTAAAACTAATTTGCTAGTGGCAAGGAAAAAAACTAATGTTGCTCAAAAGTTACAACTTGCGATTTTTCTCAAAGGCGCAACTGATTTTGTCCGCAACATGTATCGATCACAAATTACTGAAAAAATAAGGATCTCGTGGTATGCGCTCTTGTACTTGGATTAGAAAAAGGAAATTCTTTCAAAAATTCGAGTATAATTTTTGTAATAAATAAGAGACAGCTTTGAGAAACGTTGAGAAATAAAATACACAGCTTTATAATATAAACTTGTATTCTTATGTTTGGTGGTGAATGATACTGTCACGGACATGGAAACACTTGAAAAAAAGGACAAGCAAATTTCCGAAATTTCCGAGCAATCTTGCAAGCTTTGCTGCCTCCTGCTATATCGTCTATCATAATAATCTCAGTCTTCACAGAAAGTGAATGATTTCTTTGCAGGATGTCACAGACACGAAAGGAGTTGAATTTGAGGATTTTTGCCTCAGTCGTGACTTACTTATGGGCATTTTCGAAAAAGGTTGGGAGAAGCCAAGTCCTATTCAGGAGGCTTCCATTGGCGTTGCACTCTCAGGTGAGTCTTGCATACAAATAATAAACTTATGATTTGTAAGCATGAGAAATTATCAAGTAAGTACGGCGTATGTTCTACTGCATTTTATTGGTACAAAGGGCGAATCTATCTACAAGAAAATAATGAAGAATCAAGTAGCATGATAGAAATAAATATAATTTGAAGAGGACTAGTTTCTACATTATTCTTACGCCTGTAGTGATGACAAGTTTTCCGCTAAACTTTCAAGTGCGCTCTTTGTAATAAAAGCAATTCTGTGCGCAATCGGTTGATGAAAGTTTCAAGAGAATCTCAGGTTTGAGTTTCGGATTAGTTCATTAGGAGATTAGCAGCTCAACCACAGTCATTTTCTTGAAGTCTCTCCTTTTTACGCGATATTTCAATATGCTGTGTTTGCTTTCGTTCGATCTGGTCGACATGTTGAAATCCGAGAAAAAAACCAAATCACAAATCGATGTTGCAACGCGGTCTAATTTTCTTCCTTCACTGAAATCAGCCAGAATGCAATTTTTCTTAGATTGTTTAGCTGCGGTATTTTGAAACAGCATAGCTAGGAATCGCATTGTGATGGTTGGGGAAAAAGAAAGCGGAAAAAGAAACGTAGATATGAAGCGTTCACATGGCTGTCCTGTGTAAGCATGCGTTTGTCAAAGTCATGTGAATGACTTTGACAGACACCTTTTTATTGAGATTTACTACGCACACTGAAGTCACGGCTGCACGTCTGAGAATTTCAGTAGAAGGACGGGAACGTAATTCTGATCACGCTAGGGATTTGAGACATGTTTAAATAGGTGATTAGAATAGGACAAAAAAAAAGGGGCGATCGATGATTTCCAAAGCGCGATTGTTTTCAGTTTGATTTTTCAATAACTCATTTGTGACATGTTTAGTGCGATTTGTCTATTGTATTCATCGAAACATCGTTTCGAGTTTCTAGGTCAGGACATTCTTGCACGTGCGAAGAATGGAACTGGCAAAACTGGCGCCTATTGCATCCCGGTCATTGAGAAGATAAATCCGGCTATCAAGAAAATTCAGGCGCTTGTCATTGTGCCTACTAGAGAACTTGCTCTTCAGACGTCTCAGATCTGTGTCGAACTTTCGAAACATATCAAACTGAAGGTGAGACTAGTTCGAAATTTGTTTTGAACATGATTAGAGTACAAATCGCTTTCATGTTAGCTAATTGAAGATTTCAGCGAATATATATTGTTCTAGATTATGGTAACCACTGGTGGTACCGATCTTCGTGACGACATAATGCGCTTGAATGGCGCAGTACATATGGTTATAGCCACTCCGGGACGCATTCTTGATTTGATGGAGAAAGGAGTGGCGGACATGTCAAATTGCAAGATGCTCGTACTCGATGAAGCTGACAAGCTTCTCAGTCAAGACTTCCAGGTTAGCTGTGTTTCGAGTCATGGGTGTCTTGATCAAGTTATACGTACGTCAAGAAGTTCTGAAGATCGACCATGAACGGAAAGTGTCAATCTTTTGTAAAGTCTTTCCTGAAATCGAAATCCTTTCTATTATCATCATAAATAATGACGACAATGAACACATGAGTTCACTAATGCGGGGTATACACGTTTTGGGTGCTAATGAATATCTTCAGTGTTTTTCATTTTGTCAATCAAATTTTTTGTTTAGGGCATCCTCGATCGCCTTATTTCGTACCTGCCAAAGGAACGACAAATCATGCTTTACTCTGCTACCTTCCCAATGACCGTGACCGAATTTATGCAGAAGCATATGAGAAAACCTTATGAAATCAACCTCATGGAGGTTTGTTTGAGTTATAAGATGATTATTTGTCATAATGTGATTTTGCTGATTTCAGGAGCTTACTCTCCTCGGTGTCACTCAGTATTACGCGTATGTACAGGAAAAACAAAAAGTGCACTGCCTTAATACTTTGTTCCGCAAGGTAAGAAAAGATGAATGTGATGGTTGTCCAAGCTAATCTATTCGCTTCTAGCTCCAAATCAATCAGTCAATTATTTTCTGTAACTCTACTCAGCGTGTTGAGCTTCTAGCCAAGAAGATTACTGAAATAGGATATTCGTGCTATTACATACACTCCAAAATGGCACAAAATCATAGAAACCGCGTCTTTCACGATTTCCGCCAAGGAAATTGCCGCAACTTGGTTTGCTCGGATTTGCTCACTCGTGGTAGGTATTATCATTTTATTTAAGTCTGATTAATCATTTTGCATCTTGAGCCGTATTCTTTTCAGGTATCGATATTCAAGCTGTAAATGTGGTCATCAATTTTGATTTCCCTCGTAACGCCGAAACCTACCTGCACAGAATCGGCAGGTTGGTAGAGGGTTTTGATTGTTGATTTTCGGATTCTTATCATACAGTGGCGCTTCATTGTCACATGTTTATGCCTTCTATCGTTACACTGTTGTTGGTGAACTGTTTCTTTTCATTAAGATCGGGACGGTTTGGCCATCTCGGAGTTGCCATCAATCTCATCACTTACGAAGATCGCCATACTTTGCGTCGTATCGAACAGGAGCTTCGAACACAAATTGAGCCTATCCCAAAGGCCGTCGATCCGAAGCTCTACGTCGCCGACTTCCAGATCGTAGAAGATGAGGACAATAACAAAGCCAATGCGAATTGAGCGCAAGGTACGATATGAGTTGTAGTTTGACTGGGGTAAAGCTGATTTTAGACATTCTAGCATCACTACTCTATAGTGCTTCCATCTGATCTCGTTATATTCTCGATGGCTGAGCCTTCTCTTTTCGCGATACAACATACCACGCGGCAATACGTTCCAAATGTAAACTTTACGTGCTCTACTTTTGTTTGTCTTTTTGTTCCCAGTTTCTAATTTTGTTCTTAGTTCTTTTTTTCTATTATGTGCATTTGCAAATGATTTTGGTGACATTCAGTGATCACTATATCCAAGTGTTCATTCAGATCTTTTGTTGCATGACCTGCTGTGTGTAGTTTTTTATTCTTTATATTTTGTAAATCTATGCGCTCCCTGCTAATTCTTTTTTGATAGTTGAGATGAGAGCGTCCTCGTTTCCAGTAGCGTTCTCGATTATTGTTGTTTGATACGGGCTTCTAACGTGTAGGGACGGCAGTTGTACTGCCTGTCTCTTTGTCTGTCTGGCTCCTGCCAGATGCCTTTTTCATCAGGTTTGAACATCATCATGCGGTTTTTTCTGTCTCACTCCAACATCTCTTGCTCTCTCTCAACCTCGTGTTTAGAGCTAGCGGTCTGAGCAGTTTTCCCGCTCGGCAATACCATCTCAACGAATCAACTTGTCCTCTCAACCCTGTGCATAAGATAGTTTTAGAGCTTCTAATATATCACTGCTCCTGTGCGATACACACTTCAACTAAGTTGGAGTGCGTATTTGCAGAGGAGTTACTGCGAGCCTCATAGGCTGGCATAATACACTACACCATGCAGTTGGGATAACCCAGTTGTTTTGATGGGCGCGCCTCGGCTGGCCCTGTGTCTCGCCCCCAGCGCGCCCTTATATCATGTTTGTGTTGAACCTCAAGTTGTTTCTGCCAGGTTCGATCTTTCAAGTGAATTTATTCGCTTAATAAAGATTCGATCCAACTTGCTTCTATTTGTGCAGAAAAGGTATGCAGTAGTTTTGATGTGATAATGACCTTGAAACAACTTCCGAGAATCTGTCGTAAAACACACTTTTTCTTAGCTTTGCATACACGTCCGTTCAGCAAGGGTTACCCACTCTTTGGATCTTGGAATTTGGTATTCATTCGTGTCAGCGGTCGTTACTCGGACGGAAGACAAATCAGGCTCTAATCACTTCCGCATAAACTACGATTTGCAGGATTTCGAACGGTATATAAATCCCCCACCAAAACTTTCTACAAAAATGTGAGGTGTGGCAGCTACATCTTTTTTTTGTTGTGCCACACCCGAACATTTTTTCGTAGAGGAAATTCGACAAACATCCATGTTATTTAATAGCTTAAATTTCGCAGAAACAGGACTGACTCCTGATTTATCTTCATTTCTCATTTTTTTGCACTAAGTATTTAGTCGCCTAAGGAGTTCGGCCATTTTTCAGACCTATCCTTAATCGCTCACAATACTGATGAACAAACGCTCTGAACAATGTTCGATTTCGAACGAATTGTGATGAACGCTCCAGTATCGTCAGAATCTCTAACCCATGATTTTTCTACCCTGATTTTAGCTAGTATTTCAGAATTTCGCTCTCAAACGTCTGGTATAGCTTTGATAATAGTTGGATAGCGCCTTTTCAGGAATTTTGATCATTTTCGATGCTATCAAAATCTCTATAGGATCCCAACCATAGAACATCAAACGGCGAGCAACCAGAATGTCGAATGCAGCTCTGTGTGTCCTCTGATGGACTTTTCTCTCTTTTCTCTCTTTTGGGGTATTCTCGTAGGCAAAATCTTTACAAATTTTGTTTTGAAAAGCGTCCTAGGCTTCACAGTTAAAGGCACCGTCCACCCAGATTCTCGTCTTCCAGGTTTTTGTCGTTTCAGGGCTGTCCTTGATTCCGAATATGAAGTCGAGAACCGCGAAAACCCCGACAATCCCCGTTCCGGAGAACACAGGCCGGCTTTCCGGAACGGTGATTGGATGGGCGCGCACAAATGGGTGGGCATGGATAAGAGAGGGCGGGCATGGGGTCCTCGTGCATCTTCGTTATTCTGGAGCGATTTTCTCGCTTTCAAAGCGACATTTTGCACTGGGAATTGGGCATTGGCTTGATAGGAAGCCCTACTATCATATACTGCCAAAAGCTCAAGACCCTCAACTTAGGGTGGACGGTGCCTTTAAAATTCGAAACTAAATATTTGGAAGCGGAACGCTTGGTAGTTTGGTAAAGTTAGCGTTTAATTCTAATCTGTTTCTGGAAGTTGCAAGATTCGAAGATTTATCAGCTTTTACGTTTCTTGAATTCGTAAAATGAAGACTTCTGGATTTTTTTTAAAGCTACTAAGTTGTCCCATAAGTCTTTTCATTTTTGAGTTTCCGCTGTAATAATTCACACACTTCTTATTCTGGATAGACATTGGGATACCATCCGATAGAGCAAAGCAAGCTTTATGAGAGCTTTATGTTTTTGCACCGGCTTCGAACCACCTCATGTTTGAAATCAAAATCGAGAAAGTTTTGGATGCCCAGAGATTTGAAAATTACATTTCCGTTCGGGAAAGTCCTATAGAACTCTCACTCGCTTACGCATGTACACTCCACGTCAGACAATCATATTTGCTGTTGCTGTATTTTTTTAATAGCTAGAATTGAAAAGGAAAATTCCCATGTTTTTACCGAAGGAATGCTGTGCTCTTACATTAACAGTTGCATAACAAGCTCTTTTGAAGTAAAGTCGTAAATTAGCTCTTTAAAAGCTCTGGTTTCCGAGAAATGTTGAGTTAAGCAGTGAATAACCCGAATGAGGAAAGCTGAATCCGGTAGTTATTGGAAACCAGAGCTTATAGAGAGTTAAATTTTACGGATATACTTCTAAAATCTTGTAATATACAACTGTTAGTGAAAGAACAGCACAGCATCATTTTGGAAACATGGAAAGGTTTTTGTTTTCTTGATTTTTAGGTAATAAATACAGCAACAGCACATATGAGTGTCTGACGTGGAGTGTACATGCGTGAGCGAGTGAGAGGTCTGTAGGACTTCTAAACGAAAATGTAAAAAATTTTCAATTTTTTGGGCATCCAAGACTTTAAATTCTGGTTTTAAACTCGAGATGGATCGAAGCCGGTGCGAAATTATAAACGCCATCTTATAGAGTTTGCTTTGCTCTATCGCATGGTATTCTGATGTCTATTGAATAAGAAGTGTACGCAGGGCTCGGCACGAGCTGGCACCAGGGAATTTTGAAAACGAAGTCCCCTTTGAAATTTGCCAATTTTTACGAAGTCCCCCTTGACTTTTGGGAAATTTTACGAAGTCCCCTTTGATCCTCAACGATATCCCCCCTAAAATCCTAAAAAAATCCCCAAAATCCCCCAAAAAACGAAACGTCGACTAAAAAAAAAAAAAAAAAAAAAAAGGTCGCCGCCGCCAATTTTCCGTATGTCTTCGCCCACAAAAACGAAACCCCCTTTGCTTTTTGCCCCAAAAACGATATCCAGCTTGCCCCGTGCCAGCTGGTGCCAGGCCCTGAGTGTACGACTTATTGCAGCGGAAGAAATGAAAAGACTTATGGGACAACGTAATAGGTGAGCAAAGAATCGTTGTATTGCACTTTGTTTCTTCTATATAGCTGTTATCATCTCTTCAAAAAGCTTGAAATGTGAATTTTAGAATATAACTGAACTCAGGGTAGATAACAACCATCAGAGTTGGCCTGAAGATTATTCGTACGATCAGCCAAGGGGTTGAAACAAAAGCATTTCGGCTAAAAAGAGGTAAAAGTTCTACATTGCATGCTGTTTAGGGTGTTTGTCTATTACAGTCCTGAGTGATTTGAGTGTAAGTCAATAATACCACCTTTCGGATCTTTGTTTACTATCACCTGATACCAGTGGCGTACCGAGGCGGGGGGGGGGGGGGGGGAGCGCACCCCCCCCCCCTGAGAATGGGTAGCGAAATCTTGAAAGTTACTTAAATGTGTTATAAATGTGCAGAGGACTTGTTTTTACTTGTAAATAATTAAAATAATTTTTGAAAAATCAAATTAGCCTTGTAAAAAATTTTTTTTTTCGGGGGCGTGGCTGCAGCCATGCCCCCTTTTCTGAAATTTTGGGGTCAGAGGCCCGGAGAAATTTTGGGAAACATCCCAAAAAATTTTTCGGAGTGCGTGGCTGACGCCACGCACGTCCATTAGAAAATTTTTTTGTCGCCCTCCCCCTCCCCCCCCCCCCCCGAGCCGAAATCCTGGGTACGCCACTGCTTGATACATATAAGAATGCTACCAAACAGTAGATGGACGGACAAGGGCTAGGGTGAATAAACGTAAATTTTTTGAAAAATTCATGAGACTAAAAATAAGCTTTTTCTGAGAAATAATTCTTATTGAGAACTAGAAAAAAGGCTCGTTTGCGTGCGCATGCAACGATGGAGCTTTGAACTTGGGTTTATATGCGCGTGCGGAATAAGAACGAACTATGCAGTTATATGAATAATTTATTCAAATGAAGAGCATACCCTACTTTTCAACATAACTTACTTGTTTACCCCAAATCACAGTGGCGAACTGGAATGAAATGCATGTCGTTAGTTGCCTTTTAATGAGCTGACTGCAAATCTACTTCCGATATCTGCTGCAAGATTCTCTGGATGAGGTTATGAGAGTCGAAGGTAAGAAGTCATTGGGAACCTGTATAGTGTGCATTATAATCCGGCCCGGAAGTGTATAATTTAAGTTGTTGAGTGTGCTGACTAAGGAACGCACACATTATCCTGAAACAATAGTAAGTGGTTTTGAGCAACTAATTCTTGAGGAGGTGCCACTTAACATTTGCCATATTAGGACTTTCAAACGTTCATAACTTCTTCCAGATCCCGCAGCAGAAGGAAAGTTAGATTTGGATTTAGCTTAACAAGACCTTCTAATAAATGCATTTCTTTTGAAATCGCCGTCTGGGATCTTCTCTAATTAGATACTTACATTAGATATTTATGTTAGGTGGTCATATTCAAGTGGCGTGTGGGTCCCTGCAGAGAAATGTCCATCGCTCGTCTTCTAACACCTACGATCTTCATGGTGGTCGTTGGTGGCTGTATTCGCGAGTTCCGGTGCAAAAGCCGTCGCCAGCTGATTTCTCAGGGGTAGGGGACTATATGTCGCC